CCATTAATAATAGACATATCCTACTCATTTTAAGAATTCACAATCTCAAATAAGTAAACTGAATAATTAAAATAATTAAAATAAACATAATAGCATTAAAGTATCACAAAAATACACACATGCAGCGTCATAACCAGATTGACCATGCCCTCCTTTCCATCACCCTGGCTGCCAGACAAGCTGTACCATTCGTCTATGGTGTCTCCTTTAAAGACCGCTTCAGGAATGCGTACGTGAGCCCAGGCTATTCTTTCGTCTATCGTGAAACTTCGCTAAACAACAAAAATATTTGTGCCAAAAGTCACTAACAAATCTTGCTTCAGCATCTAAGTACCTACAAATTTCTAGCTAAAATCTCATAGCCCGTTAATCCACGCAATATTCATTCGCTATAACTATCATCTTTAGCCCCTCGGTATTGTGCTAATTATTATTCATTACTGAACAAGTGAGCATGACTACAGTCATAGAGAAGCACATCATTATAAAATTAATGAAAATTAACATGAATATTTCTTATAGGTGTCAAACACCAGAATAAGAGTTTAAAAGTTCAACGATGAAACCTATCAGTTTTTGTAAACAGTAATTTAATAAGTTGCACCTGCCCTCACCTTCCCCGCAACCGGAATGCAGGGCTGTTATTCAAGTAAATATGTACCGGTGAAACAGCAACACGTTACAAACTTGTAACAGTCAGTCTCATACGATACCGATGAAGAATGTGAATTTTCACACTCGAACAATTGATTACAGTCATCGCTGAAATCGTAAAGCTGCCAGTAGTTGCTTGTCCATAGTTTATGCTGCAGTTATGTCCGTTCTGGCTACTCATTTTCCTTTACTTTCAATGGTGATGCAGGCAAAATTAATGTAAAATTGCAGTACTTCGCAATGACACATGACCCCTTACTATGATTTCTGGATGCTCTCTGCCATATTAACGCAGAGTCTAGACGTGTAAAAATCATGTAAAACAACATGAACATTAGTACTCATTATCGTCATTTCCAAGGCTGGCTGGTTGTAGGGACGTCATTGTAATTTCTGAGAAGAAAATTATTTACATTTAGGTGGGTTCTCTGACATGCAAATTTGCTAAGCAATCAATTTTTTCAGCTTTGCTTTGCTAAATTGTTATTTGAACACTTTAATGGGCTTTCTTTAGTATTTCGTCTCTCGATGACGCCCTGTCTGATGGTTTTTGGGGCCGCCTGTACACGAGATGTGCATTTTTCTGTTTGGCGGTGGTTAACAACGGTTCTTGTTTAACGGTCAGTCTTCAACCATACTATGACTTCATGATTTGTGTCAGACGCAATATATGCAATCCGCAGCAGGTGCCGACAGTTCACTTCGAGTGATTGTATATTTTTCTACTTTGATGCGGTCAGCGTAACTGGTTCAAAACAATCATTGTTTGATCATAATTTTCAGCCGTTTGAATAAGCAGAACGTCTATTGTTTGTTCACAGCTTTATAACACATTTGCTCTAAGGTACCGGTCAATGCATCGTACTCCGAAAGCACACCCGCCTCTACTTCTTTCCTCCAGGTTGCACGATGGCGTCCCGGCTGATGCATGCCGCGTTTCGGCTCCCATACGGGAAGTTCGTGGGCTGAAGTACAAAGTTTCTACTCAACCAATTTATCTAACAGGGATAACCTGCTTTTTTTAATCTCCACGTCCGTCTCTGAAATCACTTATGCCTGAAAGAGAATGGAGTCATTCCTTAGAAGGTTTTGCCGTTCAACCTGCCTACCCGTCGGCTCCAAGGCTGCTGCATGCAGCTGAACCGTAGTGCTTGCTCATTCGTTAGAAGAACTATTTCCATGCTGTACAAGACTGGCCTGACAGAGACAAAGTACAGACAAATTTATGCGAAAAGGGTTAACCCATTCTTAGCCAAAAAAATTGACAGATTAACAAAAGCACTAAATGCGAGAGCAATCTTAATATTTAATTCTTACTGGGTTGTGTTACCGCTGGAGATAAATGAGCCGAGATGCTTTAAATGGTCTGTTTCCTCTATTCCTTTCCATATTTATTATAATAATAAAACAGCCGTGCCTAAAGGGTTCTTATAACTTTGGACTTCCGGGAATTAAGGCAGAACTAACTCTCGCTCGCAGCTGTGCTGCAAACAAAAGCCATCAAAAGCCAAGTGACACAGCTCGCTCCCAGTACCACTCACAAGAACACTACTCCAAACAAGCATGATATATAATCGGATATCTTGAACTGAGTTTTCCCTCCAGAATGAGACATTTCTCTTTGCCAGTGTCAGCACTGTTTCAGAAATGAAAGTAGACCACAATGTTGAATAGCACATGTGAAAGTACATATCCATGGCAAAATGCACTTAGTTAATGTAAAATCTGTCAAACAGTTCTTGTGACTGACTGTAGACATTGTTCCTGCATGTCCAGCTCTTCCAAACTGGAAACCGGATGAGCTTTGGAGTCCCATGGCATTTCAAGATTCTTCAAATCGTTGTACGGTGCGCTGAATCAAATGCAGCTGTAACACTGGCAAACTAAGACAGCGTCGTCCCTGCTAGCGATCGTACGAAGAGCGAAAATTTGAGCAGGACATGAATATTTTGTCAAAACTGTCTTAGCTATTAGCAGATTGATTTCACGAGCGACCTTGGCAGTCAGATCATAGTTTTTAACTGATTCCCTTTCGGATAGGCCCCAACTTCGACAGCGCCGCTGTCGATATTCGGGTCTTACTGTCATCACCAGAACGGTGCACTGCTACGGGCCACTGTACCAAGGTATTTAAATTTTCGAAAACGTTACAGGTGTTTACTGTGGGGATGTATCTGCAGAACAACCTCTTCTTGACCAATGCTCAGTTTTGTCATTGCAGTGTCGATTTATGTACCAAATGAAGCAGCGCTCATATTCTACGTGCAGCCCAGATGAATTATCTAATTACAGTTGAATATTAATATCCGGTTTAAATTAGCTGTAGCAAACAGCGACATGGATTTAGCTGCTTGTTTGCTGACTAATTCCGAGGGGCGATAGGTGACATCTCATTCCAGCAAAGCACATGCTGAATGCCTACCTCATCAAATATTTCCAGATAAATCGAATCGACCCCGCTGGGTAAGTAACTGCAACAGAACAGTCAGTGATAGACCGAACAAAAATTGACCTGTAAATACCAGTATATGGTTCGATTCCATACGGGTGACTTTCCACCGTTAGCGTCGGTCGGAGTTTCAAACACCGTGTTTCCAACGCGGATACGACAGTACGGATCCATTTTCATCAGCCCATAATTTTTTGTTAAATTCGCCTAATTAAATGAAATTAATTTGCTGCTCATCAATGAATGGCGAATTATCAGTAACATCCATATATTAGGTATGAAACTACCTGTGTAACAGTTACGCTAAGTCTGCCAACGGTTTTAGCTGGAACGAATCCGGTTGCAAGACGATAAGCAGGATTCAATGACGATTGTTGAGCGCCGTCGGCCACTGACTGGCCAGCGCTAGTAGTTATTCGTAAAAAGTCGTCTGACAGACGACCGGTCATAACCTACAATGAGAAAGTAACAATAAATGTGCCAACGTAAAAACACTGCTAAACACTAACCCTGTCTCTCCGACTAGTTGACTGGCAAGCAGCCATCATCGTAAGCGCCTAAACGGCCTTTTCAACTTTACCAGAACTAAAGCAAACTAAAATTAGTACAAATTCAAAACAGCAAGCAATATTAATGAAAATCGGTCAGTCGAATTCAGCAGACCCATCCATCGATTTGGAGATTAATGGATCTGAAATGCTGAAAGGAAAGGAAAGTTGCTAAATGTTGGAAGGCCAGTGAACCAGACCCACGAACGGGCCATTTTGGCGCTTTTTTACGCGTGTGGTGCTAAGCTCCGTTTCTATGCCATCACGTAGGAGTGGCTGATATTTTTTAAGGCACAGTCTGCAGCCATGTAACAAGCGTAGCGTGCAGTCTTCTGCTTAATTCTCACAAAGTAGTACTCATTTATCAACCTCAGAAAGAAGAAGGACGATTGACCCCAAATGCGGTTTGAACTCATGACCTATCGCTTCTGAGTTCCACGGCTTCTACCGACTAAGCAACCCGTCCTAAAGCATCTTCACTGTCCCCGAACGTAATCGAACTCCGCACCTAGAGTGTTCGAGGCATACTTCTTACACAATTGGGCCAATACGCCACCAAGAAGCTGAATCTAGCCTAAAGAGCTCCATTTAAAGGAGAACAGAGAAAGCTTAGAAAAAACCTGAAACTGCTGCACTAAACAACGACGGAGAATGAAAAAATACAGCAGATACAACCACGTAGTCCTTATGCCAAATGGTAGTCCTGTGATTATTAATCGCCCATCTTTTCTTAAAAAATGTGAAAACGCGAATTTCCCGATGACTATACAACCACACGAAAAATAATCAAGTCTCTCCAAGGATGTAACAACTATTTGAAGCAGAAGCTAAAATCAGTATCCCATCAGTCTGTTAAGCATATGCTTGGTTAAAGACCTGACCAATGAACCGACATGTAATAGCAGCAGTCTACTTGGATGTCATCTGTCCGTTACCATTAATCGGCAGCATTATTTTCTGAAAAGATGAACAACAAATAAAAACAATTTTTAAGCAAAATTAAAGCATTTAAAAAAATAACTACTACAATAATGATATCAAAAGTAGACCCAAAAATACGGAGAATAAAACGGAACGTATCCGATGATACATCTTTAAGGTTAAAAGAACCTTCAGATTCTTGAAATTCAACCAATCCCCGTGCATATGGCAATTCATGATGTTACGTCAACAGCAATCGACAGAATAACAGCGACAATTTTTGGATTGGTCTGGGAAACCTGTTTAACCTGCATGAGTTTCGCAAACAAACAAACAACATCAGCATTGAAAATCAGGAACACTGAGCTGGCGTAAACAATTTCGAGCACAAGATGGAAACTAAACAATTAGCCGAAAAGCGTGATTTATATAATAATAAGTCACAAATAAAGAAAACAAATTAAGTATAAAGCACAAATCATAACTACCGAAGAAGCCACTAAAAAACGACTAGTGTTCGGACTTCGGACCAGCACTTCAATATGGTTTTAAAAATAGAGCATACTTTATGATCTGTAGGTTCAGTCTAATTATATGTTCAATTCCAGTTTCGCCAAGCAGTGATGAATATATCATGGAGCATTCGAATATTTATATATTCGCATATGGATAGTGATATTTTGGCTTGGACATGCCGTTATTCAATTCACAGATGCTACCTTTGGTGCTATGCACTGCAGGTATTTAGATGCCATGAAGCCGTGACTGTTTGATTAATCCCTTTAGGTGACTAGAAGCAAAAGGGTGGTGCCATATTGCGGTGCTATTACGTGTAACATTTCTTGGGTTGCACTACCGCACTGTCAGTGAAAGGCAAAAAATAAAATTTTTTTCTTTACACTGTACGTTCGCAGTTAAAATCTGGAATCATTAATTTTATATTCAATATTATATGACACCATTATTTGTATTTTTTAATTTTCTAAACTTTCTTCATCTTTGTCTAATTTAACTGCTATTTCGATGACGTCAGTACTATGAAGGACAGGTAGTGATACCTGAAAAGAGAAGCGGTCATGGAAGAAGATAACTGATATCTTACTCGAGTATATTGATCTTTAAACTGTTTTGAAAAGTACAACTCCTTCTAGTCATCCAATTCATCAGCATACTTTCAAATAACGAATGACTCTTTCTTTTTCATTTCCTTCGTCTTCATGGCCGCTTCTCCTATTGGGTCGCAAAGGCAGACACGTCGGACAGTGCTTCCAACGTTCCCGATCCTGTGCCAGAGTCTGAGCTTCGGTAGAAGACAATTGGAGTCTGGAACAGACTCATTGCATATATTTGCACCAGGTAATCTTGGCCGTCCCTTGAGCTCTCTGCCTGTCGGTTGGGCGAGAAACCGTTTCTTAGCCTTCTTTTCTGGAGGTATTCGCAACATGTGCCCGAACCACTGCAGCCGTGGATTCTCTGTCAGAAAAAGCAGCGGCTTTACACCAAGGCTTTCGCGTATGTCTGTATTCCGGATCATGTGGAGACACGTAAGGCCAGCAATTCATACCAGCGGTGCTCATTGCAGCTGCTTGTATCCGGGATCGAAGTTTTTCAATCATGGTCTACCACTCATGATCGTAGGTAAGCATGGGGATAGATATCAACTTGAATACCGAGAGCCTCGTTTCCAGACTCAGCTCTATTTTAGTCACCATAGTTTGGGCTAGCTCATGCAGGATTCCACTGGCTACTCGAATTCGCCGGTCGACCTCGTCCTCAGATTTTCGATCATTAGTGAACACGACTCCGAGGTACGAATGATTCCTTGAGCATCATATTTCACCATGAATTGCACCGCCCCTTGCTGCTCGATGTCTAGGGCTGTCACTTAAACAGACCTTGGCTCCATGACATTTGAGGACATACGATACCAGATGTATTTCGTATCGTTCAGGCCTACCAGCTGCTGAAACAGCGTTCTTGATGAGTGTACGTAGATATAGCGGACAAAATCATGCGAGATTCATATGGCTCCGCAGTTGCTCAAATACCACAAAGTCTTGACCTG